GATCTTCTTAGAATGATGCTAATCAATATATTACATGTACTACATTCTCCTGTAAGCTGGTAATAAATCATACTTTCTAATAAGTCATATATGTAGAATCTGAAGGATAGAAGCGCGCACGCAAACACGTACACATCCAGAAAATGTCCTGGCGTAAAGCCAAATTGCAACGGTATTGATTACCGATCGATAATCAGATTTGCGAGGGGCACCCGCAAAGCGGGAAGGGAGGAACGAAAGTAACAGGGCGAGTCGTTGAATGACCGAATGAGTTATGAAGTAAACGGGCTACCATCGATGCTGTCCGAGGACAAAACTGAAATATAGCGCGCGAGAGTGCGTCCTGCAAAAAAACTGTGGATAACGTGAGTCACGTGAGTGCTTAGCGAGTGATATATCGCGCGTGGGGCGCACAGCGTGCGTAAACACACGCGAGAAAGATGAACCCGATGAATCTGTTAAAAAGATATGACAAAACCAGCATAGATTGAATAAATACGTATGCGTAAAACGTGTATATAATTATAGACACACACACATACAAATATATGTATATGTGTAATACCGCCATACGAGCGCAGCAATAAACGCATTCGATTCTATAATAGTACGCAAGGTGTTGCAGTACAATTCACGCGAACGAATCGATAACACTATCGCGGAGGTGTCCGTGAATGAATCAGCGTGGGAAGCGTGTAACAGAATGAACAGGAATACGAATATACGCGACGCGACGTAGGCGAACGCTGAGAACGCTCATAGAGCGTACGTGGCTGCATTTAGGGTTCCTGATGCACTCGAAGGGTGTACCGTCTACCCCTAATGAATCTATTAGTGCCGGCGGACGGTGACCCCTGGATTGGCAATCGCTACAGATAACGCATCACGTCGCTCGCAGCACGCTCGTTTACACGTACTGCTAGACAAGTCAACGAAATATTCACCGAATTCAGTGAGTTGTTCCCAGAGACGAGGTTAATAAGACAGACTGTGGAATAATACTGCTTTAGAGAGAAAATAATGTCAATTGATATTGCGGAAAATATTGTCAAAAGNTAAGTAGTGTCATACTTCTAATTAAGCGTTGATACTAACTTCTGTAATAATTTTATTAAAACAACAATTTACTAAATGTTATATAAATATGGTGCTTCATGAGACGCAGAAATCACTGACTTATACTACTTATAAATCTCTACCGTAAAATTATTGATCCATACTACTTAAAGTCGCATCTACTAGTACTACAATTGTACTTATTCGTTTGATATAAAAAGATATTTTGAAAGAAATAGAACTCCAATGGATTTTAAAAAACGTTTCAAGATAATCTTTTTAATTTTGTAAAAACTGGAAATGGATGAATCTGCAACTGGAACGAATCGATTATATCCGCCAGATAACGACATTAGAGATTGCAATCGGCCAATGCGCCAGGGCCAAGGTCATCGGAGATGAATATCTCGCGGGATAATACGGCACATCCGAGTGTTTATCGGATTTGTACGACGAATTGCCCGCAGGTAACTTAAAATTGCACAGGATAGTTGATTAAGCTGATTGCCAATGGAAATTGTACGCGACTGTGGATTGTTTCGTACGAAGCTTAACGAGGTTGCACCGGCGAATGTTAATTGCTCAGATAACAAGTTGTTGGTTGGAATACACACTGTGATGTGGCTACTGAGTCACTACATATCTAGTTTCCTCCCAAATGCTTCAGCTAACTGTGTGAATAAGTAGTGAAGCATTGGTAGGAAGCGTGAGGGAGAATGTTACCTGTATTAGCTTGTAATATACATTATTTATATTATATGCATATGATATTCTAGGCATCATTACATATTATGTATTATTATATGTATATGACGATTGGAAACAGTTAATCGCACTTCAGTCAACTTTAAATAAATCGACGGCTTCTATCAGTTTTCCGTCCTACACTTTCTATTCATTTTTCTCTAAAACTTCCCTGTTGCATCCGTGTCATATCGCTTTAATATAATTTTTCAAGCATATTACGCTGGGTGTAGACTGCCGATATTGCGTTTTTCATTCGTATCGCTTCGTCGTCAGAGGCTCATAAACGGGGACCGTGTGTTGCCTGGCAATTTCCTTCTAACACAAATTGTTGCTGTTCCAATATCGTATGTCGCATCGTTCAATACTAAAATTATACATTAAGATGCTAAAATTTTATTTTTGTCATTAAAAAAAAAAAAGCGCGCCACGTACTTAAGAGAAGGTTTATAAATGTTTTATTTTCTATTCTAGAATTCTATTCTATAAATCTCTAAATATCGACACATCCGCGTTCACGTAGCTTTCGAAGGCATTGCGAAAATATCCAAGCGATATCGGCTTTTTTCCTACATCGTACTTGCAACGTGAATGTTAACGTCGTTGACACGGAAACATGATGGATGTTTTGGGCGTGGGCCATCTCAACAATACTATATCAATTTGCTGTACATGTTGTACGGTCATGGTCTACAGTCTGCAAGGTGATATCCTACTTTTTCAACAATTGTGCTTTCTTATATTCTGAATTTAATTTTAAATACATAAATAATCTGTACATACATAAATAACCTGTAGATAGATAAACAAGCTGTACGTGCATAAATGTAAGTGTACATAAGTACATATTCATACATAAATATAAACACATAGTGGTAATACGTTCTTAAAAATCGAACGATTTTAAACTTGAGTCTGATTAATAAATTAGAAAGATTAGTTTACTAGATGATTTATATTAAAAAATAGAAATTGGAATTAAAAATTGTAAAAGTAGAACAGTTCTTTATTTAAGTTTGAAATGAAACTTTATATAGCAGATTTTTAATATCTATGTAGGTTATACATACATATACATTGTCACAAAGAAATCAATTAACGTCATTAATTGTAAGAACTGTAGAGCCACTAAGGTCGTGAAATAAAGTAAAAAGATTTTTATTAAAATTGTAATTCTTTATTCTTTTTTATACATCATCGAATAAATGAATTTATCAAACAGACTGAAATCACATGGATCAATTTTAAAAGAGTTACTTATACGATTTTAAGAATGTACGAAATGGGAACTACTGCATATCATATATAAGAAAGTGTAATTAAGACAGTAACATACAGACTTTACAATTTCATTTCAATTCTTCTTCCACTTTCCATAAAATTCTATCACACAAAGCTTTACTGTTTTCATAATATAAATCGTGCGATTTAAACTCTTGCGTGGTTCGTAGTGGCCGAAAGTAAAGTCGAAAGGAAAGATGAAAAGGAATTGTGCGGGACCGCGCCTGCGATTTCAGTAAAAGGGACTCGTGTTATAATTTCTCGGATTCATTGTTCAGGAATTAATTTCTCATTTCGCGTTTCCCTTTTACATTCGAATGGGGTGGACGAAGTTACAGCGTCCTCGCGATAATGAAACCGCCTGCGAATAGGTAATCATTCGCAGTACTCATAAATATATATCAATTTAATATACGCATCGCAGCTCAAACAATTTCCCATATTAATATTCCCGGCTTCGTTCTTGTTATTCGATGTGGCTCAGCTATTATTGAAGTTTTAAATCTTATTAATCATACATCACGGGAGTTAAGCATTGGCGCCAGCAAAAATATTGTCACTGTACTTAAAAATTTCTACAATTTTTCGAGGTATTTCATTGTAGTCCTCCATCATCAGTGATATAAGAGAACATTGAACAAAGATTATTCAAACCATGCATGTATTGTCTTTTAATATTCTTTCTTATTCACATATTACAATTGTATCTAATTAAGTTATCATTTTCCTTCACGTAGTTCCTCCATAACTCGATCTCATATGAGATTCTTGTTCTATATGTCAAGCGGTTTAACGAGGTACCGGCGACACAAGAGATCAGACAGGGATTCGGATAAATAATTTTTTGCTTCCATTCGAAAAGTTTTTCTCCAGTAAGGCGGCTCCCTGTCAGAAGCAGCTTCTAGCGTGGTTTATGGTGCGCCTCTTGCACTTACCACCCTCGCGAGGAGGAGCTAGGAAGGATTTTGGTAGAGCCCTCCGGGCGAGCATAATGCCCCCATTATCTTCAGTCCTTTTGCCTGTACCGCGTGTACAGGTTGCTCGGCTAACGTAACGGGTGTTCGTGTAATTTTCCGTTGCTCCTGTTAACGTCGAGCCGATTTCCTGTTAGTGATACAATTCCGATGTATAATGACGCGTATTCACTTTCATCAGCCTTGTATCATTGTTACGTATTATTATGAATGGCTAAGCATTCGAATCTCCATTTCCAAATCCATTCATGAGTCTTCCAATTAGGTACTAACTGTCCATCTGACAAATATTCCAAATTAATAGACAGCGGATGTTTGTGTTCAGTTTATAATAACACGTTCCACATTATGTAACAATACACATTATGTAATAGTTATATATCAGTCATACGTTTCACATTATGTAGTAAAATTTATGTAAACAAGTAAATATGCAACAATAATACATGTGATGTGCAACGGTGATATACGTACGAGGATATCGATATAAATAAATACGCACCTTAAGATATTGGATCAAATTGAAAGGGGTAAAAGCATACGTACTAGAGAAATGACGGAGGCCAGAAACCATTAAGGTAATATCTCGCAGGGCAAGGAAGTGATTTTTAAGGAGAGCCGGCTGCCATTTCGCCGCAATTTCGTCCCCCTTAAGCGTCCCTCCTCTCCGACCTTTGACGGACGAGAATAGCCGACGCTCCTATAACGAAACGATTATGAAAATTTCGGCGTTTTCATTTTGCTGGCTAAAAACTGACTAGGGACGCTTGCTTACAACTGCGACTCTACGTTTATGTCTACAGCTGCGTTATGTAGAACGCAGATGATGTTTGTAATTTTTATGCGATCCTTAAGCTAACGCGTGAAGAATAATATAAACATTATGTTCTTTATTGTCGCACGAATAACTTATGATTATGAAGATCCTTCATCCTCTTGTTTCAGATCCATCCGCGTCGGGGTCTTCTTGCGAGGATGACGAGGACGGTCGTCGCGTCGACATTCGAACGCGCAAGAACAGTTTGTACGCATCCTCCTCGAGTCGAGCGTTATCATTAGATAGAGACAAGGAGTTAACCTCGGGCGACGGCGGGGTGGTAGACTGCGTGGCCCTGGTGCATCTCACGGATCAATCGCCTACTATCGAGTCCAATCAACCGATCCGTCATCCATCACCCTATTATTACGGCGATTTGTTCAAACCACCGGAACAAATAGGCAAGCCTCAGCCGAACAAATATAGAAAGAGCGTGAGCCTCGACGTGCCGGGTGAACGATCGAGAACACCCGGTATACCGAAAAGAAATTCGTTAGCAGGTGATGGGGGTTCCTATTCGGCTCAGCAACAGCAGCAGCAGCAGCAGCAGTTATTGTCGCAGCAGCCGTATCAACAGCTACATCTGCAACCGTTACATCCGCAGCAGCAACATTATCAGAGTCAGGATCTAGTGAGCCCCACGTCGGGGAGCGAGCATGCTGTCCCAGCCAGAAGCGAGATCCTCTCGTCGTGTATCATCACCGAGTGGGATCACACCCTCATGCCTCCTCATCGATTGTTGAGCCATGACCTGCCGACCACGGTCTGTACCTGCGTCGCATCCGCTGAGGAGGAGGACGATGAGCTAGATCGCAGGCAGCCGCAGATAACGCGGCACCAGGCGCGCAAGTTACGACGTACAAGGAGGATAGATCCGCAACCGATACTCGTCGAGGACGAGGACGACGTGGAGGGAGAGGACGAGGAAGAAGAGGAAGAGGAGGAGGAGGAGGACGTGGATGCGGAGGAAGACGAGGAAGAAATGGCCAGGCAACGTCACCTGTACGAGACCGCCTTCGACTGCAAGGTCAATCGCTCCGACGATGACCTCGACGATCTCGATCGGGTTACCAATCATCCCGTGCTGCACTCTCAGGTACGTAGTAGTCCTCGCTCTTTTCATTATCCAGCATCTGATAATTTGAAGACCTCTGTACACAATGGAATAAGATAAGCCATTGACAAGCAGGAATTTTATTATTATTTAAAGAGGCAGTTTGTTTGTTTATAGCGTTTATAGTGCCTTGAGCTGCAACGGGAGAAATTACGGAAGATGCTAGTTATCACATAAAATCTTTCGATATTATTGATACATGTTAAATCGTATTTACAAAGTCTATGATTAATTATTGTTCAATAACAAATTTTCTAACGAAAGAAACAAAAATAATTACTTGCTCATTGACATTGGTGTACGCAATTCCTGTGTTTGCATCGACCTCCAACATTGGGGAACTAGGGACGCTGGTGCTTTTAATCAAAGGCAATTAAAGTCCAATATAGTTCAAAATGTTACAGAATCTCGGGATCTCCCTTAATAGATGCAAATTGGACTTTAATTGCGGTTTAAACCGTATAATTCGCTCATTACTTGATAATCCATATAATTAGACCCCGCATTATACAAGT